GATTATTTTCTCCATTAAAATATGTAAAAAATAATCGATTTTTATCAATACCATAAATATTTGTTAATAAATCATAAGCCATTGTACATGCTTGACGTTTAAAATATGTATTATTAAATGACCAATTTCCAAGCATTTCAAAAAATGTATGATGATATGTATCATGACCAACATCAGATAAATCATTATGTTTTCCACCAACACGTATACATTTTTGATAATTAACAACACATTGTTGTATAATTTTATCTTGTTGTGAAAGAAATATATTGTTGAATTGATTCATTCCACTGTTTACAAAATATGTTCCAGAATCTTTTGGTGGAATAACTGATGATGATGGAATAACTACATGAGAAATTTGAGAATGTTTTGTAAAATAATCGATAAATGTTTGACGAACACGTGATGATGACCATTTTAATTGATGATTTGTTGAATAATAACGAACACAATGAATAAATCGATATGATGAATTAATAAATAACCTATAAATAATTCATAGATTTTAAATTTCTTATTTTTATTAAAAATTAACGCTTTCAAATCATACATATAGTGATGTAACCAGTAGTTTTTCGTTCTTCTGATAGTAGGACGGCGTCCGGTCTAGCCCATCATTAGTTACACTACTAACAGCGTATCGTTATTACTTTGTGGGGTGTTCATACAGAGATCTTTTATCGAACTTTCTATACTAATAAAATTTGAAAATATATACAACGATTTTTGTTCACAAAATTTAATCTCTATCAAATATTAAGAGGTTGATAATAGTAGTTTATCATATCATAACATATATTGAATAGTAGATATTCATAGACTTTGGCTGAATTTTAAGAAAACAAAATTTGAATATGAAAATTCATAATCAGAATTTATCATCTCAATAGATCGAATTTTTTTAGTTATCAACAATAAGAAAATAACAATCTTAAAGTAATAGCACTTATTACCTATTTAAAATTAATATATGAAATAAACTTGCCGAATATTTTCGAAGGTTACATTATACAAACATTAATATATATATATATATGTATAAGGTAAATTTTTAGGGAAAACAATTGTACATATTACTATATTGGAACTCCGGTCGGGGTCATATGAGTAAAAAAGTTAGATTTCAATATATATATAAAGCTAATTTCATAATTATTGTGAAATCAACATGAAAAAAAAAATAACTTACACTCACATTGAACAGGTTCAAGATGACGTCCGCAAAAAAAACTAAATTAAACTATCTAAAATTAATAAATAACAAACATCGATATTAATTCATCTATCATATTGCATGTTTTCTTTTGTTAGTACTTCTATGGAATATACATAATTTTCATCTACACAGTGCTTTTTCTGCGCAATACACAACGTGCATGTGTATGAAAGTAACAACACATATCGAGTAGAAATGTCCCTACTGCATATAAATTAAATACTATAAAAAAATTCAACCATTCTCATCCTATGGATATTATTCATTGACTTCCAAAGTTTCTCTTATGGACACGATACTATGAAATCTAGACTTTTTATACTATTCGACAAACCCTTAACAACACATTTTATAAAATTAATAGATGTCGCTAACTCTCGATCTCTTACCTTTAGCAAATATTCAAAATAACACTTTTTTTTTTCCTTACTTTTTAAAGCCTTCTCTCGTTAAATCAATATTATCATAATAGATAATCAAAGTTGTTTTTTTCAGTTTTGCTTTTTATCTCCGAAAAAAAAGACCACACAAACATAGAGATGAGAGAAACGCACATAACAAAAAAAGAAAAGAACGAAAAAAAACACCAGAAAAGCGAGAGAACTTGAAGAGAGATATAAACAATGGCTTAGGTTTTTTTTGTCTTGTCATATACATAGAACGACTATGATGAATGAACAAGTAGCAATTAATAAAGAAAAGAAAAACATTTTATAATCTTTTAGTCTTTTTTATGTTTTTATCTCTGTCTGTTCACAACGCCAAGCGTACACAACAAGAAAAAAAAAAAGAAATCACGCAAAAAAGAGAAAGAAAAAGAACAACATCAAACGCAATGACAAATTTAAAAAGTACAATGAGACTAAATGTTCCATGCTCAACTCATCTGTGAGAAAGAGAGAGAGACCGTTTCGGTTTGGTTTTTTCTAATAATATCCAACAGTTAATAAATCAAAAAAAAATTCTGTCTAGAGTAGGAAGAATGAATATATAAAAAAAAACAATCAAACAAATAAACGGAAAAATAATATGAGAACAACGCACATAACCAGAATATTGTGTTTTTTTTTTTCGCTGATGATAATATAGAAATACACATAAACATATATAGACATATAATCAAATAAACATCAACTCTATACAAGATAAACAAAATGAGAAAGAATATATAAACGACTAGGGTTTAACAATGGCAGCTTGTTGTTGTTGTTGAGTACCTATTGGAGCATTTGGAATATGAGGAAAACCACGTGTAAGTGTTGTTAATAAACTAGAAAATAGAAGACAAAAAAAAACACTAAATATTTTTTTTGAGCATCATTGAAAAATTCGATAATAGTTATTCGAAATCCTAACTAATGACTAGAGTCCGTCGGATCCAAAATTTTTCAACCCGAATTTGAGTCATACGCCTTATGTAGTTTGATGAGTAGAGCTTATCGGGTTGATTCTGAACTTGACGGGCCCTACTGACGTGAATCTTCAAGCCACTGCTCGGAACATGCAAGATACTTGTTATCGATTATTGGTATATTAATACTAACACATTGTACATATTTCTGTGACACTCTTAATGATGATCTTATTAATAATCTAATTAGAACTGAGTGTGAAATTTAGAATATGATTTGTTCAAATCTAGAACTAATCCGACGGATTCTACCAACTCCATCTTTAGCATAAGATCTGCTTTTGATTTTTTTTATCATCCTCAGTGTTTTCGAAGATCATAATGTTCTTCAAAAAAAAAAAAATTTGGGAAAAACTTATAATTTCAATCCTAATAGTAAGACTGAATAGAATACCTAGTGTAAAGAACTAATTGAAAGTAAGAATGGACTGTTCGAGATTATAACTTTTCCCTAGTAGAATTAAAATATTAAATTCTTAATTAACAGTAAAATAGAATATAATTTCAAAAAAAAATGAAACAAACCGTTTAACATCTGGTGAAATACTCATAAATTCTCGTGACCATAATTTTAAATTAGGATTTCGTACAAGTTCGAGAAATGTTATTAATAAACCCCATGGATGTGGACGATTAGCAACAAGTCTTTCAAGTAAAACTCTAGAAGAAGAAGAAAACAAAAATAAATTAAAATCTTCATTTAAAAAAACAAAAAAGAAAATAATTCATTAACAACACATACCGAACAATTTGTTCTTGTAAAGCTTCTGAATTAGCTTCAGCAAATAAATATAAAAGTGTATAACTAAAATAATGTGTATGCGTATTTGGATATCTTAAATGATTTGCCATTGCATTTAAAAATATATAACGTCCTTCAGTATCTAAATCAACAGCTAAATTTTGAAATATATCCATATGTGCTGAATGTGTTATTGATGACATTAATGGTTGACCATTTGTTTTATTATTTAATGTTGATAATGCTTGTGTTGCAACATATAAAACAAGTGCATTTAACATTCTTATATTATAATGTGAACCAGGATCAGCACCTTGTTGTAAATATGAACGTAATTCAGATAAAAATGTAACTGGTGCACGTGTACGTAAATATGAATCAAGATTTTGTTTAAATTTAGGTGGTTGAATATTTTGAGAAAAATTATAAGCTATCACCGGTACAATTGATATATCATTAAGCATATCAACTTTAAAATTAACCAAAAATGGATCTGGACAACGCATATGTTTTGGAAATGCTGATAAAACAATATTACGTAATTGATGTGCTATTAATGGTAATGCATCACAAAATTGATAATAATGTTCACATAAAAATTCTGGAAAATCATGTAATAATAACATAAATGTTTTTAATATACCTTTAAAATAAACTTGAAATGATTGTGCATGTTCACCCGAACGTATAAATGGTGTTACTAAACGTAAAGCATCAACAAGTAATAATGCATACATATTATGTGTTTGACGTGTAAAACGACCAGCTGATAAAAGTAAACGTGACATAAATGTTCGATGTGCAACTATTTCAAGCCATGCAAATGCAAAACCAGGTACACGTTGTGGACGTAAAAGATGTAAACAATTTGTAAATGCCAAATAAATATAATACATTACATATTCATTTGCTGATGATACATCAACACCTGGTGTTGTACTATTTAGAATAAAAAATTTTATTATATCAAAGTTTTGAAAACAAAAATGTTTAGAATATTCATTCGGCGGCGTTTAACGGGAATATGATGATGAACAAAGTTAAAAATTTTCTAATGTAAAGTGGACCGCAAAAATTTAAGATACTTTTATTTTTGAAGTTTTTCATTGAAGATGAGTAGCTTGGTCAAATCTAAATAGTGATTTGGATATCTCTTGAAATTCTCTATCGAATACAATATGTGTCAAATTTTCAAAAGAAGCTTTGTGAAGAGTTTTTCAGACAACTGTGCCAGGAAGATTATGACAGAAAGATTTTTCAATATAAGCATTCGAAAGAGCAGAAAATTCTGAATAGAATGAAGGATTGTCCAGCTCTGTACGATATTCTATCACAAAGTTATAAGCATGAGAAAAAACGAAAAAAAAACGCGTTTTTCGTCGATTTTTATCAAAAAAAGCCCTAAAATTCGATTAAAAGCGTATTTTTTCGTTTTCTCTAATGCTTATAACTTTGTGATAGAATATCGTACAGAGCTGGGCAACCATTCATTCTATTCAAAATTTTCGGCTCTTTCTGATGGTTATATTGAAAAATCTTTCTGTCATAATCTTCCTGGCACAGTTGTCTGAAAAACTCTTCACAAAGCTTCTTTTGAAAATTTGACACATATTGTATTCGATAGAGAATTTCAAGAGCTATCCAAATCACTATTTAGATTTGACCTGGCTACTCATCTTCAATGAAAAACTTCAAAAATAAAAGTATCTTAAATTTTTGCGGTCCACTTTA